AACTTAACTTGCCTTGGAATGATTAAAAAAAAAAAATTCATAAGGGGTAGAAAAAGACAAATTCTTGAAAAGAAACACTTACCTGTAGTCTGCCCGGGGGCCTCTGAACTACTAAGCGCAAAATCCCAGCCATAAGTGCAGTGACTGCTTTCTTTAGAGGCTGTGGGAAGTAGGAAGTAGACCCATGAGTCAACTATGTCCTGGAAATGAACAGGTTTCCCCTTCTCTAGCATTAAAAAACTAAGCAGCAAATTAATTGTAAACTTGACTTAAGTTTAACAGTAAAACATATTGGTTATTTTAATACAATAAGGGCACGAATTAATTTATACATATTTTATTCAACCACAGGTAGTAATTATACACATTAACCACACCCCATTTTCATCAAGTGAGTCAGACCTAGATTGATTCCACAAAACTACTATCATTTAAAGTGTCTTCTTCAACAATGAAGGCAGATAAAGAATACTTTGCCACAGAATCACAGAAAATTAAAGAGCCTGAAGGGACTGGAGAAATCTCAACTCCTATTAGAACTGACTGCCCACATCCTTACTTTATGAATGAGGATCATGAATTCCAGAAAGTTCAATGATTTATCCAAGTGCATCCAGTTATCAATAAAGTATGTGGTCTGGAATCCCATTCTCCTAATTTCTAGGCGAGTGCATTTTCACTAAACCGTAACACCTTTCTGTTAAAAAGTAGAATTTGTTTTTGCTGATTTTTTTTTTTTTAACTATTTTCAACGCACACGCACTGCTTCTATAACCTAAAAAGGTCATATTTATTTAATTAGACACAAAACAACTGTAGTCTACTGACTTATACTGAAAGCAGAAAGATTAAGTTCATGAACTACATGTATATGTCGGACAGGTTACTTAATTCGTGCGTTACAATTTTTCTCCCAGAAAAGAAAGAAAATAGTCGTCTTGCAAATGAGTTATTCTACAAAGCACCTAAAACAGTACATGGCATGTGGGAAGCCCTCAATAAATGGTAGCTTTTATTATTATTAAATTATTACAAAGCTAATAAGAATGCTCTTAAAAGTATTCTTAAAAGCAGCCCCCAACCTTTTTGGTACTGGACCAGTTTCATGGAAGACAAGTTTTCCATGGATAGGGAGAGGTGGCAGGGAAGGTTTCAGGATGAAACTGTTCACCTCAGATTATCAGGCATTAGATTCTCACAAGCATGCAACCTAGATCCATTGCATGCACAGTTCACAATAGCGTTCACACTCCTATGAGAATCTAATGCTGGACTGCTCTGACAGGAGGCGGAGCTCAGGTGGTAATGCTCACTCAAACGCAGCTCACCTCCTGCTGTGCCACCTGGTACCTAGCTGGCCAGCAAATGGTCTGGATCTGAGGCCTGGGGTTTGGAGACTTGTGCTCTAACACACTAACATAGGTTAAGTGTTGTAATTCAGTGTCCCGCAGATTCCAGTTCATTCAAGTTCTGCATGTCTTTCCTGTGATGTGGATAAAGCAATGGAACTGTGAGAATCAATGCAAGACGTCTCTTGAAAAGAGCCAGACCTCAGAAACATTCCTCAGCAACTGAACCTGTCTAATGCTAAATTATTTTACCAGACTTCCTCGTATCAAGGTTAGGTATTACTCCAACATATTTAGCTTCACACTTTATAAAAAATCTTTCTGATCACTTAGATCTCAACAAAATCCTAACTGGACTTCTGCTTCCGTTCCAATTCCCCTAATATCTTTTTTGTATATCAGCAATAAATCATCTCATTAAATCTTAGATCATATCGCTCTGCTCAAAAATCTTCCAGAGGGCCAGGATTCTCACTGTCGAAGTGGGAAGTTACACATAAGCAAGAGTGGAAGGCTACAATGATCCTTACATACCTTATACTGTTTAGCTTAATATAGATATTGAGGGATTAGAAATAATAATAGATATGCATACACACATGTGTTGGCTCTGTCAGCTGAGAGGACTTACAGCAATAGCACTCAGTGGCAATGAGCACGCCAGGTGCCCAGATCTTGGCTGCATTCTTTAATAAAACGAACCAGTGCTCCTTTGAGAAATGGCTGATTATGTCTGGAGCACTTTGTAATGCCAGAAAGGAACTACTGGAAAAAACATAATGATGGGGTATGTCAAAGGGACACTGGAGTCAACCAAGCCAAAGCTGGAACAATTTCAGCAACAAAATAAGTAACAAAGTATTACTGGCTTAGAACCCAAACCAAAATAAATAAATAAATAAATAAACAACCAACCAACCCTAAGTTCATACTAATATAAATAAGTGAACAAGTTAATGAGAAAGAACAAATATCCCATTCAGAAGAATTCCAAATAATTCTTCCCTCTCCTGGAATGATTCTGATACTTACATGGCTAATTTCCTTATCTTTTTTAATTTTTGGCTCAAATCTCACCTTTTCAATGAGGTCTACCAGATCACATCATTTGACATTTTCACCCATACCCCAGCTGTCAACGCTCCCAATTCCTCTCTTTTCTTTCTATTGTGCGTATCTTCTAATGTAACTTAATTATGTTAGGTTTGCTGTTTGGTGCATATCCATTCAACAGCATGCTAATTCCATAGGAAACGGGTTTTTAGATTTTGTTGTTTTGGGTCTGTTATATTCACAGAAGTATCCCAAGCATCTGTGTAAAGTGGTATCTGCCCTATAGCAGGCACACAACATATTTTTTTGCAGAATAACTGAAATTTAAATATGTACAGACTTCTGAAGGTGTGATAGTCAAAAGTTACAAGTTTTTAGAGATAAGAGTCTCCCTAAGTTCCTGGGATTGAACTCAGCCTCAAGCAATCCTCAATTTTCCCAGTAATTGGAGCTAGGTGTCACCACGTTTGACTCAAGGAATACATTTATTTTATTTTATTTTTTTGAGACGGAGTCTCGCTCTGTCGCCCAGGCTGGAGCGCAGTGGCGCCATCTCGGCTCACTCCAAGCTCCGCCTCCCGGGTTCACGCCATTCTCCTGCCTCAGCCTCCTGAGTAGCTGGGACCACAGGCGCCGCCACCCCGCCCGGCTAGTTTTTTGTATTTTTAGTAGAGACGGGGTTTCACCGTGTTAGCCAGGATGGTCTCGATCTCCTGACCTCGTGGTCCTCCCGCCTCGGCCTCCAAAAGTGCTGAGATTACAGCCGTGAGCCACCTCGCCTGGCAAGGAATACGTTTTAATAAAGTAAAAGTTACTGTCTCCTACTGTAAAATAGGAAAATACCAGGCATCACAGAAGTATGATCCCATTTCTATTTTTTTAAATGTCTGTGAACGTGTCATATTTACAGAAAAATTCTGGAAGGTTGTCAGAAAAGCGTTAATATACGCCTGGGGGTATGAAAAAAGGTGTTTTTCCTCCCCCACACCGACCGATAGTTCTTTTGTCTTTTTACAATGACCATGCGTACAACAGGAACGTTAAAAAGCGATTTCTTTTTCTAAACCGTCAATGTATATAATTATTAAAGGGGGAAAAACACTTCTGAAATGTAAAACATAGAAGCACTCTTGCAGAGATACCAGAGATCTCTGAAGGCTGGAAGCGTGTCTCTTCTCTGAACTCCTAGAGCCTAACAAGCAGTAGGCAGCCCTCATTACTGCCTCTTGGCAAAAAGGGCAGAACAAACAGCTTTTGGTAGGTCTCGATCAAAATGGTAACAAATCATAATTTTAATAAAATGGCAAATATTCTTTTTTTTTTTTTTTAAGAAGAAGTCTCGCTCTGTCACCCAGGCTGGAGTGCAGTGGCATGATCTCGGCTCACTGCAAGCTCCACCTCCCGGGTTCACGAAAATGGCAAATATTCTAACTGCCAACTCTGGGATTTTGCATTATAAAATGAAGCAATACAAAAATAAAGACAATTTTCTATCTTCATTAAAAAAAAAAAAAAAGCAACCCTAATCCCCAATGGCAATAAAGCAGCAGCACAGAAAATGCTGCTTGGGTTCCCTTTCCCAAGCTGTCCAGCCTGGGGGCTCCGTCCTTGAGCTCCAGAGTCTGGGCCCAAAAAGCCGCGTGGCCCTGGATCCCGCGAATTGGGAAACGGGGGGATCCTGCAGGCCAATGGCCTTACGGGAGCCAATGTGACGGGATCAGGCGCAGACCCATTTAGGTTGCCGTAACCTGCCAACTCAGAACGCAATAGGGAAAATCATTAGGATCTGCAGAGGGCTCCCGGATACACCTTGCGAAGAATGCCGCACTCTCGGCCACTCATTCCCCACTCACCAGCACCCGCTAAACGTACAGCCCGAACTTTTCCACCGAAGGGAAGCGGAACAGAGGAAGAGCCACCAAGTGCCACACTCAAAGCCTGCCGTTGCAGTGAGCGCGACCTGCACACTAGGGCATTTTTGTTCCGACGAAATCCCTCCCCCTGAGGCAAGTCCCTAGAAAGAGAGCGCAGGCGCCTGGGTGTCACATGACCGCTTCCCGGAAGCGCAGCAGACCCGCTTCACTTCAGCCTGGGTTGAGGTGGAGGAGAATTCCCGGAATTATGGCGAAGTCCGGGCTGGGGCAGGATCCTCAGAGCACAGCTGCAGCCACTGTGCTCAAGCGGGCGGTAGAACTAGATTCGGAGTCGCGGTATCCGCAGGCTCTGGTGTGTTACCAAGAGGGAATTGATCTGCTCCTGCAGGTTCTGAAAGGTGAGCAATGAGGCAAGGCGGGGAGGACCTGAGGAAAAGGAACTGGTTCCTGCTGTGTCTGGGGTGAAGTGAATGAGTTAAAAACGATTCTTCCACACCACGAAGAAGCAGTTAAATACAGAAGGTGGGATATTCCACAGGACACCTGGGCCGCTTTCCTTTAGATCTTTAGTACATTGATGTCATCTAGAAAAGGTGGGGAGGCTACTAGTCTAGATTTTAAAAGACTTAAGAGATATAACCCAGTGTAATATATAAGCTTTGATAGGACCTGGGTTTGTACGAACTTTGAAAGACATTTTTGGATCTAGTAGAAAAGTTTGAATATAGATTGGGTGACATTAAAATTATTCTCTTAGGCAATATGATTTTTTTTCCCGAAAACTATCCTAAATTTTTAGAGATGTAGACCAAAGTGTTTTAGAAAGAGATGCTATGATGTCTTAGTTAATTTTCCTTAAGCAAAAATTTTTTAAAAATCGAAGCTCTATTTGAGCAAAAATGCTAATTTAAAAAATATAGGTGATGGGTAATAAGGGTGTTTATTATACGATTATTTTTAATTTTCTGTTTAAACATTTGCATTTAAAGCAAGCCAAAGTAAAATTATATAGCGGCAGAAGAAACGTTTTTCTTAAACGGATGAAGTGCGGTGTGAGAAATGCCTAGGGTTGTGGAGGGGACAGTGAGACTTTTCCTATTACTGAGTTATTCAATGTTGAGAAATACCCAAATATTCCTTAACACCCAGCACAACCCTGGCTCACAGTACACACTTAATATTTATGTATTAAATTGATAAGATCAACTCCTACTCCCCAACCCACTGACACTCCCGGTCTGAACTAAGCTCCCTCTGTGCTTTCTAGTTTAAGCTTCTTATAATTAAAGTGTTACCGAAGCTTTGAGGCAGCAGAGGGAAGCCCTTCATGGTTTGGTGCTTTGATCAGAACTATAAACTCTACCTTGCCTGGGGCATTATTTGATGATAATGATGACAGTGACAACAGCACTAAGCGTAGCTATCACGTTTCAGTGCTGAGTGCCAGGCATTGCAGAGAACATTAAAAGTATGATCTCGTTTCCTCTGTACCAATTGCCCTATCAAGTAGGAGTTGATGGTGTTCTCGCTTTACAGCATAAAAAATATTGTTCGCTTTCAAGTTCTGCCACTAGGAGGTGGTAGAGTCACAGTCAGAGCCCAAGGCCTGTGTATACTGAATCCCAGAAGAGAGACGGTGTGCTGTGTTGGTCAGGTGGAACACTGCTCAAGTTTTGGCTGCACCAGGAATCTGAAGCGGGAGAATCACAGTTCTTCTCACAGTGCTTCACTGATCCCGTAGAGGTTACATGTAACATGACACAGATGGGTTAAGACCAAAATGCAAATAGCGCTAATACAGGCAATAAGTGCCAGGAGAGAGATACCTATAGATAGGCACAATGAGGACTTCAACAGTTAAAGGTCATGGGAGGGTGGAAAGGTAGAGGTGGAGTTTGATGGGGGCTTTGGAGGAAAAAGAATTTCAGAAGTCAGAAATTCATCTAAGAGTCTTCAAATTCCTGTGCTGTCTTACCAGATAAGTAGTTTGGTTGAGCACGTGTCTGAAGAGGAAGAGTGAGAAGTTAAGTTTAAAGGTAGATAGGGGCTTGGATCACATTGTGAATGCCTTGACTACCAGGAGATTCTAACTCATTCCACAGGCAAGGAGAAACCATTTAAGGTTTTTACAAAGGAGTAACATAATTGGAGTTGCATTTCAGGGCTTGTCTCTTTCAGGAATGTGCTCTTTTCTCACAGATACTTATTTGCATGGCACACTCTCTCCTATTCCAGGCCTTTACACAAATATCACCTTCTTTGTGAGGCTTTCCTAGACCTCCAGTGTAAAATTATAACCCCATCCCAGCACTCCCTGTCCTCCATTATTTTATTTGATAGCACTTATCTCAATCTAATATACATGTTTTACCAACTTATTTTTATTGTTCTCTTTCTTCCTACTTGAACAATAGAGGAGAATTGTGTCTGTTGTATTAACTGCTGTATCCACAGCACTTAGAACAGTGCCTGGCATGTCGTTAGTTCTCAATAAATATTTCTTGAATAAAGGACTGAATATGGCAAGGATGTAAAGTAGATATTAACCTGTAGAGACTGAAGTTGAGCAGACCAATTAAGGAGCTCCTGCTGGAATCAAAATAAGAGGTGAGTATAGTCATTATAGAAAACAGTATGGAGATTCCTCAAAAAATTAAAAAGAGAACTACCATATGATCCATCAATCCCATTACTGGGTATACATCCAAAGGAAATGAAATCATTACGTTGAAGAGATATTTGTACTCCCATGCTTACTGCAGCACTATTCATAATAGCCAAGATAGGGAATCAATCCAAGTGTCTATCAGCAGATGAATAGATAAAGAAAATGTGGTACATATATACAGTGGAGTACTGTTCAGCCATAAAAATTGAAATCCTGTCATTTGTGACATGGACAAACTTGTAGGAAATTGTTAAGTGAAATTAGCCAGACACAGAAGGACAAATACCACATGATCTCACTCATATGTGGAATCTGAAAAAGTTGATGTAGAAGTAGAGAGTAGAATAGTGGTTACCAGAAGCTGGGAAGGGCAGGGGGTAGGAGGAATGGGGAGAGGTTGGTCAAAGGGTACAAAATTACAGTTAGATGCCAGGCACAGTGGCTCATGCCTGTAATCCCAGTACTTTGGGAGGCCGAGGTGGGCAGATCACTTGAGGTCAGGAGTTCGAGACCAGCCTCGCCAACACGGTGAAACCCTGTCTCTCTTAAAAGAAAAAAAAAAATACAGTTAAATAAGAGGAATAAATTCCTGTGTCTTATTACACAATAGGGTGACTATAGTTAATAATGTGTTGTATGTTTCAACATAGCTAGAATGAAGGATTTTCAAGGTTCTTACCGCAAAGAAACTAAATATTTGAGATGACAGATAGGCTAATTACCCTGATTTGATCATTACCTTTACCAAGTGGTCAAAGTTAATATCATCAGTAGTAAGACACATAAACATCACGTACCTACCAAGCAAGGTACATCACTTCTGTGATTGTCTTGCCAAAAAATGCATAAACCAAGTCTAATCATGAGAAAACATCAGACCGTCCAAAACGAGAGACATTCTGCAAAAATAACTGACCGATGTTATTCCTAAATGTCAAGGTCATAGAAGGCAGAGAAAGATTAAGGAACTAACACAGATTGGAGGAGACTAAGGGCACATAACTAAATACAATATGGGATCCGGACCAGAAAACACTTTCATTAGTGGAAAAATTGGTGAAATTCAAATAAGGTTTGTAGATGAGTTCACAGTATTGTTTCAGCGTTAATTTCCTAGCTCTGATATTTGTAGTATGGCTTGTAATATGTTAACATTAGGAGAATCCAGGTGAAGGAGCTATCTGTACCATTTTTGCAACTTTTCTGTAAATATAAAATTAACTCAAAATGTTTTTTAAAATGAGAGATTAAAATGAAATTATTGGCTGGGCACTGTGGCTCACACCTGTAATCCCAGCACTTTAGGAGGCTGAGGCGGGCGGATCACCTGAGGTCAGGAGTCGGAGACCAGCCTGACCAAAACATGGTGAAACCCCATCTCTACTAAAAATACAAAAACTAGACAGGCATGGTGGTGGGTGCCTGTAGTCCCAGCTACTCAGGAGGCTAAGAGGAGAATTGCTGGAACCGGGAGGTGGAGGATGCAGACAGCCGAGATCGTCCCACTGCACTGCAGCCTGGGCGACAGAACGAGACTCCGTCTCAAAATAAACAAAAAATGAAATTATTATGGAAAATATAAGCGATGTTGAAAGGAAAGAAGGGAAGGAACAAGAAGTGATTTGTTGACTGATTTGGGAGGATGGGTGCTTGGAGTAAAACTTTATGATCATGTATATTCAAAAATAACATTTTTGTGGTAGCTGGAAAAATGTGCATTATATAATGGGGAGGTCTGGAAGAGTAGCTGGTTTTGTGGAAGATAAATATTTTTTGCTATCTTTTAATTATCCAGAAACTTCAAACTTGTAGGTAATTAGGATAAAATAGTGCTCAGACATGAGTTTGACACGTAATGAGCCACCTTTCATCCCACCAGATTTGGTGTCCTAGAGATGAGACATAGTGTCAAGCGTTCCCACTCCCAAATCAAGCTGCATCACACGTTTCGTGTAAATATGAAGGTCTTGGATGTTCAAGCCAAATTTGAGGTTATCGTGTGTATTTGAGGACTGAGGCAAATCATACTAAAGGATAGGATATTTGTAGAAAACTGGAGAAACTGAAAACAATGCCCAAATTAAATAGAAAAATTGTTTTGATACTTGCTAAGATATATATTTTTAAATTTGTAGGTACCAAAGATAATACTAAGAGATGTAATCTCAGAGAAAAAATTTCCAAATACATGGACAGAGCGGAAAACATAAAGGAGCACTTGGAGCAAGAAAAAGAAGGTAAAGAGGCTGTTTTAGAAAACACATCCGTAAACGACTACGATCGTCCATTCACCCAGTGTTCCTGGCTCCTGCCCTTTGGAGCTCTGTGTGGTCTGGACCAGTTGTCCCTGGGAGCTTACAGGATTTAATCTGCATTTCCACTCCCATATAGGAGTTGTTCTTAATTGTTTGGTTTTTTTTTTAGTTGGGGGTGGGAATGTCAGACATCCCTTTGACCTTTGAACATCCAATGAAAGCTACAC